GAAAGAGGATGATCAAGACACTTAGCTTATGAAATGACTATATGAAGCATAATAGATGAATTATTATTTTTCAGCTAAATTTAGCGACGTTTTGCTGATAATTATTGGAAATGAGTACATCGACATTAGAGTAATATAACATATTTGTTAAATTATTGGTGATACATCATTAGCATTGTCTACTTAAGTCTGACTGTACATTAATTTTTTTTTTTTTTTTTAAATAAATTTTTTGCTTTTTTTTTTCTAATAAATAATGTTATTGTAATTTTATCGCACGAATTGAACGAATTATTTATTGGTTTTAAATAGCCATTCTATTGTAAGTAACTAAGAGCTTTTAAGAAAACTTAAACAAAAAATAATGAAAATTTAATTGATTTTAAGAAACATGTTTTGCTCGTGTTAATAGTTTACTAGCTTTTACTAGTTCAATTTTATGTTATTCTGTTTAGTAGCGCTTAGGTATCCCATAAAAAATTTTCTCTCTAAACTGATGGCCATAGCGTGTTATTTTAACTGTGTTTAGCCTTGAGAATGGTAGTAAATAATTTGCGATATACTTGACTATGCAACATAACTGGTATATGCATTTTACCGTTTGAACGGTAACAATTTAGTAAGGAGCAAATTTTTAATAAGTTTCGGAATACGTAGGAAATAAATAGAGCGAGTAAAATATAAAACTAAGCAAAGGCGCAATGGAGGAAGATGGCAGAGAAAAGTCGGCAGAAGCTTTGCAAGAAAAGAAGAAAATAACGGTCCATATAAAGAACGGAACGGAACGTTTTATTGATAAAAATTCAATGAATGATAAGTAGAAGCAAGTTAATAGATGTATTAATTAAATATTATTACTTATTAATATTTTATTGCTTTTAATTATATATGCAGTATTTCAATATATTCTCGGTTATTAGATACCTTATAAATAAGAACATTTTTATTTATATTTCAATTAAAAAAATTTTATCATACCGAAGTTTGGAATAATTGATCAATCCAATGATGAAATCATATTTTAATGGCGTCATTAGTTATTTAAACTATATTAAATAATAAAATATCTTGATAATATAAGAAATTATGTTAAATCCACACCCTTTTACTATTTATGTGTAACTACGGCTTTTCCGTTCATTTAATAAATACTAAACACTAAAAAAATATTTTATTACTTGCTAAAGAAAAATATATTTCCTCTACGTTATTTAAATATTTTTTATGTTAACTATATATTTTTTTCGATATAAGGTTTATAAAAAATAAATAAATAAATAAAAAAAAAAAATAAAATAAAATAAAATAAAATAAAATAATTATAATAAAATTATGTTATTTAGAATGGATATCGCCTAAGTAGGGAATTTATGAGAATTCATTAGGAATTTTGATCGGCTATATATATTGTTATTTACCATTAACTAATTTCATAATAGGCGATTTATTTAAGAAATAATACAATTGAAATTAATCGTCATAAAATAATTATAAAGCAATCATAAAATACAATATGATGACGTATTATAGGCAGTTGATTGAAATCGAATCGAAAACTTTCGTTAATTGCTAATAACTATTGACGTACACACACACACATACCCGCGTGCGCACACACGCGCATATATATATATATATATATATATATATACGTAAGAGTAAGTATTAATAAATTAGGTATTATTATTATTATTATTATTATTATTATTATTATTATTATTATTATTATTATTATTATTGTTATTATTGTTGTTATTATTATTATTCTTATTATTATAGTTAATTCGTAAAGATCTGTTAAATATGGCAGAGTATCGCGACGATTTGTTGCTGAAATATCGAGTGTCGGCATTATTGAAGTCGGCACCGGCTAAATTCAAAACCTCCGGCTTGAAAATCCCTTTTAATGTAGATGAAAAGCTTGGAAAGACAGGGAGCTTAAGTAATTACTAACCGGGAGTGTAAGTAGCGTAGCTTCGGGGGCAGCCCTTTGGGCGTCTCGTACGACTGCCGTGAGGGCCGTGATGGCAGCCATGTTGGATAGGGCGAGGGCCACGAGGCTAGAAGCGAGGTGGGCCGAGGAGAAGCCGGAGCTTGATCTGCTGCTCGAGGTCGTGGCTAGGGTGGCGACGACACCGAGGGCGCCCGCGACCAGCGCACCTGCGCCTGCCCACAAGCCCGCCCCCGAGTTGCCCAACGACGCTCCATGGACCAACACGAGCACGCCCAGTACCACCAGCACCACGCCTGCGCAATAAACATTAGGGATCATTAATACGTTAGACGGTATGATCTATCATGGCTATTTTATTCAATTGATGCACTGCCTTCGTCTCGTATAACTCTCAAATTATTTTAATTCCTATTATAAGATCGCTCGCCTTTCAATTCCGGAAGTCGGCTCTACGTATGTAAAAGTCATTTTAAATTTACCTACAAATAGTCTTGCGATAAATCTTTTCATTAATGTCATTTCAATCGAAAGGTCTCTCGCAGCGTCTCTTACATAACACGCTGACTTATGAATTTATACAATTCCTTAAATTATCCTCATAATTGATTTTCGTATAATTCTACGTCTTTCGCTTTATTGCATTTTTTCTTTTTTCTTTTTTTTTTTTTTTATTATAATAATTAAATAAAGATATACTTATAATAATAATGGGGGCTGAGGTAAAGGTATTCTATACAGATCTGAGCTGAAAACCATTAGTTGTCCCGCTTATAAAATTATTGCCGTCGTTTATTATTATTAATTTTTAAAATATTACTTCATTTTTGTTCAATTTGCGCGAAAAGCTACAGATTTTCATTGAAATTGACATTTTCTAAAAGCCGGATAGATATTTAACGGTTCAAGAGCATTCGTTATAAATTTCATGCTGTGTACTATTTTATTGGCTGCAAATATAGTTAATCATTGTAATTAAGTTCTTATGCAATATTATTATTTATAAAACTAAGAGATCTGTTATTTTCATTCAATATTACTTCATTTTTATTATACAAAATAATTGATAATGATAGTTGTAGTGTTTTATAAAAAATTTAAAAAAAAAAAAAACAAAACAAAAAAACAAAACAAAAAAACAAAAAAAAAAAAAATAATAAAAAATTATAATAATTTATAATAACAGTATTGTAAGTTTTATGAAAATTAAATCAAATGTTACAGTACGCTTAGATGTATAGTAAATTTATTATCTTCTTCTTAAAGATTAATTGCAAATTTCGTAATGCATATTATCAATAAATAACAAGATTTTATTAGCGGGCAGTTGAATTGGTTTTTTTTTTCTTAGCCGCAGCACAGAATTAATTATTAAAACATTGAAAATTATTCTAATGATTGTAATATAGAATACTTTTTACAATAAATAATGTCAACATTAATTCTATATGAGTTTTCTATATGAGAATTCTATATGAATTCTACATGAGTGCTGATTTATTATTAAAATTTTTTATTTCTTTATGTCTTGTAATTGGTAATTTTGTCTCACTTTATTTTTCTCTACGGTTTCGATCTATTAAAAATATTCTTTATAATGATACCATTAACACAAATAATGAAACCCCAGTTATTAAAATAATTAAATAGTAACTGTCAATAGTTCAATCAATAATAATTTTGTGATTAGGAATGTGAATTAGTTAGATCGATAATACCTAGGATAATTATGGACTTGAAAAATTATTCTTTAATATGATTATTCAATGACATTGGAATTCTTAATATGATTTTTGCATTAATAAAAGTCTATCCTTAATATTTGAATTTTTACCAAACAGCGATAAATTTATTTGATATTATGAATCTTACGCTTAAATAATGAATTAATATTTAAAAAAAACATTTATTTGAAATTATGAATCTTACGCTTAAATAATGAATTAATATTTAAAAAAACATATCTTATATTTTCTTGACATATAATAAATAATTGAAATCATTAAATTGCACGTGCCGTAATATGCTGTTGATGATTGTAAATTAAAGATAATAATAAAAATCAAAATTTGTATAAATTTTAGATAATTGAGAAGCAAGGAGTCGTTAGAAAATATTTGCTATTTATCGATTATTTTTCATATTTCATTAAAGTACTTTAAATATAAAAATTTTTTTTTATTTCATTTGCCATTTTTTAAAAAATCTTCTACATTTTGAAATAGATCAAGAGCTATTGCTATTAAATAGCAAACGAAATTTCTCAAAATAAAACTAAACGCAGATAATAGATACCTTTATTATACATCAATTTCATGAATTTTATTATCAAATTCCATGGCGTAAATAATGCGAATATAAAAATGATAATACGGCAAAAGAACGGAAAAAAAGTTTGAAAAAAAGGGAAGAAAGAGCATAGAGAGCAATTTGAAATAAACAGCTCAAGTAATTGCAACAAAAGCAAATTACACACAGTTTGCCGCAAATGTTGAGTGGATCTTTAGTATCATTTACAAGGTCATTTGCAAGATTTGAAAGTTACCGTGGATACATTATTTATCTGCAATTTATTCAATTCTGGATGTATATTTTATTTTTGACATATCACGATAATTGTGCTATTATGAGCTCTTATTTTTAGTATTAAATAGATATTGTGCTGATATGATGTTGATAAAGAGTAGTAATGGAAGTGTTAATGGAATTCTCCAAACGAAATTATTGAACATTCCTTTTAGTATTTAAAATAGATAGTAAGTTAATGTGTCACGTGAACGTCCAACGAGAGATTAAACAAGAGAATTAATATTATTTGCAACAATTTCAATGAACATGATTTTTTCAATAATTGAAAATATTTTTAAAATCTGTTTGTTTTAACACGTGTTATAAACAATGATAAATAAGTCTTTTTCAACTATAATAGTCTATTTAACGTCATAATAATAAAATCTAAATTAGTTTGTCAAATTGAAAATGCTTGATTATTTGATTGATTACTTACTTAATAAATGAAATTAATAAAGATAAAAATTTTCAAAATTAAAAAATATGTTTGTATATCAATCAGTAGTTGAAATTGAAATTTATAATTGCATATTTTTAATGTAGGGAGCTTGAAATGAAATTATGCCTTATATGGTAAGAGTCACGAGCACATGAATATAATGATAAATGTATATTACCTAATAATAATTGGCAACAGGACGTGAACATAAGAACATTGGAATTGTCTTTAAGTTTCTTTTTAACACTTTGCTGTCGTGGCTGCTGATGGTCCTGGTGATTATGACGACCTTGATGATAAGGTTTTGAATCGATGAGCACCTCCTTCGAGTGCTTCGACTCACGGCAGCTCTCGGATTTTGAATCTTTAGATATTCGCGTGCTCACGGAGATTTTCGACACCTTCGTGTCCTTGGAGTCGTTGCTGTTATTTGAATCCTGACTCCTGACTGTCGAGTCCGCCGCTATTGCCGTCGTCTGATCTTCCATCTTTCACGCGAAACTACTATTCTTCTTTTCTTTCTTTCTTTCTTTCTTTCTTTCTTTCTTTTTTTTCTTTTTCTTTTTTTTCTTTTTTTTCTTTTTTTTTCTTTTTCTTTTTTTTTTAAGCTTCAGCTTTTATCGTACCCAAGTGCAACTATATTGCATCGCCAATTAAAAGGAAAATTCGAATCTATTCCCGCGATTGCTTTCTTTAGCCAATCGACTTAGCACTTTTGGGTCTATATAGCGCTGAAAATATTTGACAAGAATGTTTCACTCCAATGTCAACGACCCTCTCTACGAAGATATTAATTCTGATTAAGTTTTAGTTTCTGTATTCTCCGTGCGTTTCGTGCCTTCTTTTCTTTTATATATTCTTCCTTTTTCTAATTTCACGGCTTTTTGCTTGTGGCGTTACACGAGGCAGATCCAATCATCACTTCCTCAATAATTTTTATCTTTGCCTCTGTCTTCTTCGATCTCTCGACTTCTGATTGCAATTTCGTACGGAGGTGTTAATTAATCGATTACGACAGCCCGGTGAGTAGCCACTATTGCCCAATAAATTCACCAGACTCGATGAACTTGGCGTTCCGTGCGATAATAATAAATATAAGGTTGTCTAGGCGTTGCTTCGGATGGACGATCTGAAGAAAAAAACCGTTAACACAACGATATTCTTTATATAATTTTATTCTTCCCTTATTTGCCTTCGCCTAATTCAATGAAAAACAAATGGTTAAACATGCTTGATTAGCATGTGATAATTATTCCATCAATTTGACCTTTTATATTGCACATGTACGAGTGGATGCACACGCATGTGCACAATCATCCGCCTACAATTATATATTCTGTAAAAGTTTAATTTTACCTTAATATACGAGTTCGTGCGAGGATAATTATAATTTTTAATTTTGAACTCTACGAATATTATAAACGGATGGGCATTAAAATATTTCAATTATTAAATAATACATTATTTAATATATTATTTATTATATTGCGAATTTTTAATATTAAAAATTATATAAAAATTCTATTTACAATTTAAGTAATTAATTTTAAATTTAACATAATATACTAGTTGATGGATTTTCTTTTTTTTTTCTCATAAACTTATCGACAGATATTACAACACTCGAATAGACTAAAAACCAATTTATATACTTTTAAGAAAATTAAATCTGAGCAAATAACTATATAAATAATGATAATATTGTAAGTAAATTATATATAAATTGTAAATACGTTAAGAATCTTGTTCATATAGTAAGTTTCTTTTAAATTTAATTGCTTAACCTAGAACATATAATTAGAGAATTCACTGTCAATGCTTGTTCTCGATAAATACTGGAGGTGTAAGTTTTTCTGTTACAACTCTATAGATTTTTATTTCGTAGCTAAGGCGTTAATAGTCATAAAATTACAATTATTTTCATCAAAATATTTGATAGAAAAATATGATATTAACATTATTAAAAGACATTTTCTTTTTGGTTTACATGAATTTGTTCATTAAATAGATAAGATGATTTTTTTTTTCTCCACTAAAGTAGACTTATATTCTTTTATCTTGTGTTTAATTGAATTAATTTTGGATTACATTCAATATTTTGATACCAATTGCATTAATATTAAATGTCTACTTTTTTTAAAAAATTTTACCGCCCTAATTATGAAATATAGAAAGAAAACTTTGATATTTAAATTCGCTACTAAATTAGTAGATTATAATTTACAAAAAATATATATTCATAAAAGGTTTTTGCAACTTTCAAAAGTATGCATAGTACCATGTTATAAGAATAATTTTTTGTCTAAGAAGAAAGCTTAGATAAAGATGAAAGTCAAAAATCTTCTATTACTTCATAATATTATATTTTAAATGTTCGAATATTCCAAATAGCAAATATCATCCAACTAATATAAATATTTAACACAAATATTTCTTCACTTCGGCAACATAAAAGCTGAATAATTTCAGACTATAACACGTATTTATTCAAAATAATAATACTGTAATAAATTTAATGAAAAAAGAATGTGAAAAAACAATTAAAAATTCAGTAATAATGCATTCAAAGATCATAGTATTGTAACTACATTTAAATTTTTAAATATATATTTATTTTTTATATTTAAAAATTACGGTAATTTAAAATGTAATTTAAATTATTTTAAGGAATAATATTTAGCGGCAGTATTTCAAAGGATAAACTGTGAACATTTTTATACTTTACATTTTTTTACTTAAAATAAGTTGGATAATCATCAAAATATATTTTATAATTATCATAAATTAATGATGCTACAAGAGTTTAATATAAAATTATATGAATAAATTATTAGTGTTTAATTGCAATATAGTAAAATATTGATCCTTAAAATGCGATTTTAATGTATTGATTTGACTACTGAATCAAAAAGTTTAATTATTATCATAATAAATACAATTCTTTACTAAATTGATGTTTTGAATGAGGTAATTTTATATTTTTTTAAGACAATTTAGAAAATTTAATAGTCAAGATGAAATACAGTACAGTAAATTTAAAAACAGATAAATATAAATACAGTACAAATAATAATAAGTATATATATATATATATATATATATATATATATATATACTTACTATTAGTAAAATCATTAAAGTAAATGAAAATTTTAATTCATTAAAACGATGCTTTATCTGTGAATTACAAACGTACGTAATTTCAAGCGTTTTTTTTTCAACATTTAACGCTCATCGTTCGAGCAAATGCAATGTCATCATTTTCATAAGAATAGAATTACGGAAGTTAATATTAAATTATTCGCTCAATTATATTTGGTGAAATAAATTAGTTCTTCTTATCCGAGTTTGTAATGATTTATAAGAGCGTATAAAGGATGATGAGAAACTTGAGAAGATATCACGTAATTTTATTAAAAGTCGAGAATGAAATAATACACTTTTCTCTATACTATTCGTGCAAGAAAGCTTTGTAAATTACCATAAATATATATATATATATATATATATGTGTGTGTGTGTGTGTGTGTGTATGTAATAAAATTAAATTAAAAAAAAAAAAAAACGCTCGCTCTAATGAAAATAATTAAATTTTATTCATTCATAAATATAGAGTTACGTCTACGAGAAGATAAGATTTTCACGTTGAAATGTTTAAATTTAAAGCCCAAGCACATTCGCAAGCTCAGTTCTTACGAGTATTTTATTCAGCTACTAGTTTCATTGGTACTTTTCGTCGTTCGATCGAATGCAGATAGATAATAGCGATCTTTGATACACTTCACAAATATCAACACACGCGAAATAAAATAGCCATTGAGACGTCTTATCTGACGTTTTATCTCGCAATTCCCACAAGCATCCTCTTCTCAACCTCGCACTTACTTCGATGAAGAAAAAAAGTTAAAAGTTGAGACGATTTCGCGCGAATGGAGCTTGTGTTCAGCCGTGTGTCTGGTCAGTGACTGGCACGCTTTGGGCTCGCAGCAGGTTGCACCGTTCCCTCTCTAGATCCATCTCTTTCTATGAATGGGTGTTGTATGAACTCGTGGGGTAGAGCGGCGCCTACTCTCCTTCCTCCTCTCGACTCACCTTTTTCTTTAATCGCGATTATACCCTTACCTTCTTTCTCTCCGATCCCCTCCTCTCGGCTCATACTATGCAACAAGTGTCACCTAATGTCATTCTTCATTGTCATATTGGCCTGTTAAATATTGAACATATATTTATGCGCATTTCTACATAGGCATGCGGGTGTTTCACTTTTGAATACGCATACGTGTGCGTGTGTTGGCGTGTGCGCGCGTACGTGCGTAAGTACGTTCAAATAATTTGTATATATGCAGCTGAGCGTACGGTAAATATATTTATATATTGGAATATTATAAAACGTACGTGGGGGTTGGCCCTTATCAATTTATTACTTTATAGATTAATTTATATTTATTTTGTTCATCAATTTGATTGCTGAGAATTGTAAAATTTATTAAAAAATCATTCTATGTGTAGAAGGAGATTAAAAAAAAAAAAAAACTTATAATTTTATAAACTTTAGTGAAATCATATGAATTGTGATTATGTGATTCCAATATATAAACGTTGATTCAAAAAAATATAATTTCATACTCTTAAATTTGACGTAATGTATACGCGGTTTTTCGATAGTCGTATCTTATAATAATTAGCGAAATGCTTGAACGCTCTTCTTCGCCTTTTATGTCCTATATAATTTTGCAAAATTTATAGGTTTACAATATCAATGTCATACATTAGATAATAATTCATGTTACATACTTACAATATTTACAGTAATCATTCGATAAATTTCCTTGAATGTTCACTGAATAAAATAATGATAATGTTCATATTTTTCGTTTCTATTTTTAAAATTATTATTACATGACAATTTATGCAAAGATTCTTATAGTTCATTTTAATAATTGAAATTATTAAGAAAATTTGGAAAATCGTGAAGATGAGAATAATATTTTCATTCGTTTATTTCCTTGATATTTCTGCTAATCGTCGATCATGGAGATCCTAAGATAATATCGAAATTCTTGATTTGGGTGGTATTGTTAATAAGCAAAATACTGAGCGTGGATTTACGATTCTTTTCAATGTCCATTTATTTTTCTGTATATAGTATGATAAATATAATTTTTTACTCTATCACTAAGGTATTACATATTAATTACTCTTCACTTATCACAAACACACACGCGCGCACGCACGCACACGCACACGGACACGCACACGCACACGCACACGGACACGCACACGTAGAATTAAGCTTGATTCACACGTTACTAAATAATTTACATTAAACGCAATGTTTTAATAATAAACAATTGTCATCCGATATAAAATAATATATACATTTCTTTTAAAATGAAAATGTGGCTACAGTAATACATATAGAGATTCAGATTAAGTATTTTAATTAAACTTGAACTATTAAAATGATTAAAATAGCAATTAAAGTGTCAACAAAGTAAATGTGTCATCTT